CGAGATTGAGTCGTTTTATCAGTAACGCATCGAAAGTGCATTCCGGTCGCTTTAGGAAACAAACAGACTAACAAACAAAAAGCCTACCCATGGCAAAGACTGAGAGACTGTAATGTGTTTTTAGAAATATCTGTAAAGGGGTTTGCCTCCGCACGAATTCGCACGAATTCATGCACTCTTTCTTTCTCTCTCCGTCTTCTCTCTCTCTCTCTCTCTCTCTCTCTCTCTGTCTCTCTCTCTTTCTTTGTTTCCCCGCTCCCCCCTCACTTGTTTTCTCCATGTCTACAGGAGTCCACACCCACCGACGACTCTGCGGCAGATGACGACAAGACAAAGGACAAGCCAGCTGACGATTCCGCGGCAGATGACGACAAGATAGAGGGCAAGCCTGCTGATGACGTACAGGAATGTCAGCTGACCCCGGAGCAAGAGGAGGAGCTTGAAGATCTACTGGAGGCGGAGCTTGGGGCGGAGCTTGAAGAAGAGCAGGAGGCGGAGCTTGAGCAGGAGGCGGAGCAGGAGGCGGAGCTTGAAGCAGAACAGGAGGCGGGGCTTGAGCAGGAGGCAGAGCAGGAGGCGGAGCAAGAGGCGGAGCTTGAACAGGAGGCGGAGCTAGAGCAGGAGGCGGAGCTTGCCAAGTACTTGGAGAATGAGGAGGCTGCAGAGCAGCTGGGGGAAACCACAGACGCGCTGCCTTTGGAGGTCGATCTTGAGTGACGTCAACTCCGTCATGCACTCTCATTGGCAAGAGGGATTTGAGGGTCACCATGACGACGTGGTACCTTCCTTAGATGAGTGATGTCATCGTGTATTCAAGTATTTGCCGTCGAAAAATGAAAGCTAAAAATAGGACGGCGGGCTAAGGTGGGTCGCCTAGCAGGCTGATCAAAATTCCCTTTTCTTTGCCAATGAGAGTGAATAAAATAAAGATAATTCCCAGAAAGATATGTTTATTTTGCTCATTATTTAACAAAAACTCTGGAACATTGTAGAGGCTTTAGATATATCACTCATACCTTTGTTGATACATTGTTTGTGTGAATGTTGAATTGGATAGCATAGCATAGCATAGCATAGCATAGCATAGCATAGCATAGCATAGCATAGCATAGCGTACCGTACCATACCATTCCGTACCGTAACATAACGTGCCGTATCGTACCAAAGCACACCACACCACATAACACCACACCACACCATACCACACCACACCACATCACACTACACCACTCCACACCACTCCACACCACACAACACCACACCACACCACATCACACCACACCACACCACACCACACCACACCACATCACACCACACCACACCACACCACACCACACCACATCACACCACACCACACCACATAACCCCATACCATACCACACCATACCACACTATACTACACCACACCACACCGTACCACACCACACCACACCGTACCACACCACATCACACCACAACACACCACATACCAAATCATACCACACCACACCACACCATACCACACCACATCACATACCATACCACACCACAACACACCACACCACACCACACCACACCAAACCATACCCCACTATACCACACCACACTACACCACACCACACCACACAACACTACATACCAAATCATACCACACCACACCACACCATACCACACCACATATCCCCATACCACACCACACCACACCACACCATACCACACTACACCACACCACACCACACCGCACCGCACCACACCACACCACACCACACCGCACCACACCGCACCACACCACACCACACTACACCACATACCAAATCATACCAGTCGCACGGATGATAGTCTTTTGTCCCTCACGCACTAAAGACATGGGTTCGATTCATAGACGGTGAAATTTCACATTTCTTTTTTTTTCATTCCTTATGGTATTATGCAATGCTGCCTCAAAGCAACATAGCAGTTTTACGGCCTAGCTTGTGTCAATTGCGGCGTAAAACATTTAGCAATAAAAACTGGAGAAATACGTTATGTACATACAGTACATGACTGATCAATACTTACGTTGATGCACAACGGACGATTAATGAATGGAGATAAGCGCAGCTGGAGGAGAGGGGTCGAGAAAGAGAGAGAGAGAGAGAGAGAGAGAGAGAGAGAGAGAGAGAGAGAGAGAGACAGACAGACAGACAGACAGACAGACAGACAGACAGAGATAATAACCAACTAACAAGTTGCCAAGTGGACCTAAATGCATATGACATACGCTCAAACAACTCAAAGGAAGCATCTGATTGCCTTGACCTTCACACGGTATTACTGTCTTCCGTGATCATGACGTAATCGTTCTATTAATAAATATTAATTGTGATCAGCCTAACTGGTCGACGCCTCAGCGTGAGCGGGGAGATAGATTAACCCTATCCGTACGTCGTGTTTTACTATCGTATCCATACGACGTGGGGAACTATGTGCCACCACTTAACCCTATCCGTACATCGTGTTTTACTATCGTATCCGTACGACATTTAGGAAGTCTGTGCCACCACTTAACCCTATACTCACGTCGTGTTTTACTATCGTATCCATACGATGTGGGGAACTCTGTGCCACAACTTAACCCTATCCGTAGGTCATGTTTTACTATTATATCCATACGACGTGGGGAACTCTGTGCCACCACTTAACCCTATCCGTACGTCGTATTTTACTATCGTATCCACACGACGTGGGGAGCTCTGTGCCACCATTTTCCAAAGAGCAAATTTCCTCGGTCATCCGATCCGTACGCTGTGCAAAGCAGTCTGTCAAAATGATTTTTTTAGAAATACTGAAAGTTTCCAAGAGATCTTCGTACCATTAGTATTCTAGAATGTGAAGAATAAACCGCGGGGACACAAAATGACCCAAGGGAATACGGATAGGTTCATTCGACGTTCGAGGCCAGCACTCTATTATCATCATTTGCGTCGCTGTTGCTATTGGTGTTGTTCTTGTTGGTCTTGTTGTTGTTGTTGTTGTTGTTGTTGTTATTGTTATTGATTTTATTGTTGCTGTTGTTGTTGTTGTTGTTGTTGTTGTTGTTGTTTTTGAGGCTGTTGTTGAAGTTGTTGTTGTTGTTGTGGTGGTGGTCGTATTGGTTATTGTTGCTGCTGCTGCTGCTGCTGTTGTTGTTGTTGTTGTTGTTGTTGTTGTTGTTGTTGTTGTCTTTGTTATTGTTGTTGTTGTTGAGGTTGTTGTTGTTGTAGTTGTTGTTGTTGTTGTGGGGGTGGTGATATTGGTTATTGTTGCTGCTGTTGTTGCTGCTGCTGTTGTTGTTGTTGTTATTGTAGTTGTTGTTGTTGTTGTAGTTACTCTTCATCTTCTTGTTCTTCTTGTTCTTCTTGTTCTTGTTCTTGTTCTTGTTCTTGTTCTTCTTCTTCTTCTTCTTCTTCTTCTTC